TCTGACAGCAGATGGTCCAGGAGACACCCACAGGCTTTTATGGGTTAACTGGGAATTCCTTCAACATGTTCTGAGATCATCCTCCAGTGTACAAAGGGGCAAACAGAGAGAATTTGCCGAAGGTCCTGGTCCAAGACTTGAACCTGGGTAGGGTGGCTTCAGACTTAACCCCCATCCTAGGGCCAGGACTCATGGCCACTCCAACCCAAAGCCCTGCCTCCAGCCCCCAGCACACACCTGCTAAGTAGACGGAGACCCCGCAGCAGAAGAGGCCAAGGGCCACGTGTCTGAGGAGGCGGCAGTCGTAGAGAAACCAGTCGGACCTGGAGTGGGGGGTGTGGAGAAGGAAGACAGTTCTCAGGAAGTGCAACTGGCGGGGAGGCGAGGAGGGGAGATGAGAGAATGGCCCGAATAAGAGGCGGAGCTAGCTTGTGGGAGCCAGGATTCACAGGAGGACCCATTGCCACCCACCCATTGGACATCCATCCACTTATCTACCGTCTGTCCATCCATCATCCATCTATCTACACAATCATTTAATCACCTGCCATCTTGCCACCACGGATACATCAGCCCATCCATTCACTATTCATCCATCTATCATCATCCACCCACCCTCTGTCCATCTCTCCAGCCACCCTTCTACTCACCCATCTATCTGTCCATCCAACCATTCATCCATCCATCCACTCGACTTCCGAAAAATGTATGTTAATAATTCAACCATCCTATCTCATCCATTCACACTCTCCCTCATTCCTCCATCAAACAGGCCAATCATTACCTACCTTTCATTCATTTAAACCATGTCCCATGCACCCATCCATCCATCCATCCATTTAAATCACGTGTTCTAGATTAAACTATGTCCCACCTCTCCAAAATATGTATGGGCACCCTGAGTGTTATACCTGTGGGTATGATCCTGTTTACAAGTAGGGGATTTTTGTTGTTGTGTTATTAGATCATATCTGAGTAGAATGGGTTCTAAATCTAATCGCTTCTAAGTTATGAAAGGAACAGATCACACACACACACACACACACACACACACACACACACACACACGACCACGACGACACACTCGATGTCAGGCTTGCTTACAAGCCAAAGAACCAAGGAGCTCCTGGGCCGGTACCGGCAAGGCCGTATTTGCCTCCAGAACTCCAAGAGCAGCAAAGTCTGTTCTTTAAAGCCACATGCTTGTGGCATTTGTGCCACAGCAGTGCCCAAAGACTAAGGAAACATCCTGGCTCCCACCTCACCCCCATTCAGTCTACATCCAAACACCACCCTCCACTCATGCAGCTCCCCTCCCATCCTGGCTCCCCTGCCGGGCACTCAACCCTTCAGAGCTTGCAGAACAGTTACTCTGGGCCCCACACTGCTCACCACCCGTCCTCACCCCACAGACCACACATACAGCCCTCTTCTGTCCGTGAGGCCGCAGCAAGGGAGGCACCTGCCGAGTGTTTTGAACACATATAGGAGGGAAGGAGGGAGGGTTAGATGAAGAGAGGAGAGGTAGGCAGGGAGAAGCCAAGAGCCAGAGGGATTGGTGAAGGAGGGTTACATGGAGGGCGGGGGAGAGAGAGAAAAGGGAACGGAGGTGTGGATGGAGTGAGGCAGAGGAGCACGAAGGGGTGGCTGGGTGGCTTCATGAGTGGATGCATGGGTGAGTGGAGAGATGGGAATGAAGGGTGGGCCGTGGGTAGCTGGATAGATGCG